CTCATTCTCCTGGACCTCACCTACGAAGCTAAGCTGGCTGGCTAGGATCTACCTACCTACCTGTAGGTAGATCTACCCTGGGATCTACCTGTCTCCAGCCCTGGGCTGACCAATTGCCATCACACTGAGCTTTTGAACGTGGATGCTGGAGACCAAGCTTTGCTCCTCCTGCCTCCACAGCACGCACTTGGCCAGCTGACTCATCTCATCAGCCCCAGTGTTTGGTTTAGCCACTTAACTGTCTACTCACAAACAGTAGAATCTAGTATTAGCTTATGATGTAAGCGCCAGCTTGTAAGGTCACCAGGGCAGAACCTGTTCTAAACATGGACGTTCCCGGTCATTCGGAACACCTGCTGCAGACACATGCTCTGTGGGAGCTTTGTGGAGTGAGTGACCGGAAGAGAGGCTTTCTTACTGTGGTTTTCTTGAATTGAAGAAAGAAAAGGGAGGGTTGAAGCCTTGCTTGGAATAGACTAGAAATGGGGAGGATAAGGAAAAGCAGAGCTAGAAATGGGGTTGGCAGCATATGGTGACAGTCCCGAGGAAAGAGGAGACAAGGTGCCCACCGTAAGAACAGCACCACAGGACAGCAGGCCAGGCACGGTCCTGCCTCGTCCCTCTGTTCTAAGCCCAGTCGGCCCACAGATGCCCAGTGCTGGGCCCGCAGCACCCCCAGTGCCCCAGCCCCCGCAAAGGCTCCATCCTAGACCCTGAGCGTTACCCGGTGCTGATAAGACAGCAGAGGAAAATGTCTAAATCCTCACTGCTGTGCACGAGGAAGATAAGCCGGGCGCTGACAGCAGTGAGAGCATCTCCCTCCCCCTCCTATTCTGTCTGAAACAGAATAAACCTGAGCAGCGGCTTAAACAGCCATCCCGGGGATGTGGAAATGATGGGATTCTAACAGGCCACTTGTGGCTAATACTGCAAGCCTCTGAAGGTTTGTTCTCAGACTTTTTGGTCCACACAGGCCAGACTTGAGGGCCTTTGGCACCATAACCAGAAGATCAAGGCTTCCAGAAAGCCAGTGTGATCTCCCATCAGTGTAGACAAGGCCTGAGGGAGTCTGACTTCTGTTTAGCATGGCGGGTGTGCCAGGCCCTCCTTGAAAGATTTAATTATACCACACGGCTGTTCTCTCTCTCCTCTTAGTCCATGTTAGCCTTGCTGCAGCAGCAACAAAAAATTAATTCTTCCTCTTCGTTTCTCAGAGGTCAGTTTCTTTCCTTTAAAATGTTTTTATTAGCTCCTTGTTCAAGCTAGGAACTCGGCCTGTCAAAGGAAAGGGTCTTAGACGGGACTGGGCGCTGGCTCAGGAGGTAGAGCACTTGCTGTGCAGCATAGTGCCTAAGTTTGGACCCCCAACAGCCTTGTGAAAGACCAGGCACGGTTTCTGTAACTCCAGCCGGGGAGAGGGTGCTTCGGTAGGAAAATCCCCTGAACTTGCCAACCTTACCAAACAGTGAGCTGCAGGTTCAGGACGCGACCTTCCCTCCAAAGGTAATAAGGTGGACAGCAATAGAGGAAGACACTTGACATGGTCTCTGCATGCACCACATGCTTACAGAAGTGAGCACACCTACACACACACACACACACACACACACACACACACACACACACGAGGGAGTACAGAAGGTATGAGAAGTAGAGAAGAATGTATTAAGCAATGATGAGTCTTTTTTAGCTGTAGATTACCCTTCTATATTGGTTTTTGTTTTTTGTTTTTGTTTTTGTTTTTTAAGTAGAAATGGAAGGATTGGAGTTGAAAATGCATTAGTGACCTTTGAATGTCATGCAATTATGTAGTAAGAACCCAAGATGGAAGCCAGATCCTGAACCTCCAGAATGCCTTTCTCTCTTCTATACAATGAAGACATACATCTCTCTGATTTCTTCTGCTGCTGGGAGAGAGGGAGAAAATAGTTAGCATATTTCAAGAGCTGTTTGGATGTGATACACTGGGTATGCTCTTTCCAAGGTCCCTGTGAAGCAAAGGATAGTTGAGTCGGTAGCTGGATGGATGGATGGCACATGATGGATGCATAAATATGTTAGTGGGTAGGTGAATGGATTGAGTCTAAGAATTCCAGGGGCCAACTCCACTTCTATCCAGGACTTACCAGCTCCTCTAAGATGGATACCTTAGTAGATGTGTCCAACCTGGGCTTCCGACCAGGGAATTTTATTTTGCCAGTAAGTAATAGTCACTGCAGCAACACATCCTCTGCCTAAAGCAACCGGGGACAAGTGTAAGTTATTTGAGGATGCGAGCCCAGACTTTAACCAGCTTCGCAGAGCCCACTATATGTAATGCATCATAGGTGCTCTTTAAATGTTGAAATGAATGAAGCGTGTCAGTTAACATGAGGCTCTCTGAGAATACATTAACATCTATCAAGAGTTCGGCAATCTACAGATTTTGAAATATCCAAAAATAATCACCCCTAGAGAGAGCTCCGTAAATCAGCAATGAAAGAGCTAAAAGAAAACTATAAATCATTCCATTACTGTTTCATACGTTTCCAAGTAAGTGGTTTTGGAAGCGTGAGTGGTGCATAAGCTGTATTTAGTCTTGGTGTGCTAAGCAAATTTGAACCAAATATAAATCCTGGCATGGTATTTTGAATCCCCATAGGGAGGGACAGGGGGTTGGGGAAGGAGAATTGGAGGAGCATCAGAGCTATTTGGGAAAGTTTAATCTACATTTTTAGAAAGATACAGTTTAAAGAGTTGGAATATCAGTCACCCCCACTGTCAGGATTCTTCATCGAGAGAAACGACAGGAGGTCCAGTGTTCCTCAGGTCTCTTCAGATCGCATTATTAATAAGAGTGTTGTCGCCCTGTGAGCCATGTGTGAGCTTTCTTGGCATACCTCCCTGTCCTTCGCCTCCTTATTTACAGCTTGCAGTAGACTTGTTGAGTGGGAAGCAAGAACCCAGACAGAATGTTAATGCCGAGTAATGACATGTAAGCCGGTGACATCTTGGGTCTTGGGTGCACATCACTGAGGGAGGCCCAGTCAGCTGTGGCCCTGCTCCCGACATTAACTTTGATTTGCTCCACATTGCGTGAAGAATGAAGCGGAGCCTCAGCTGTGAGCATCTCAGACGGGCGCTGATGATGGCCCTTAAATCTATCCTTGCCCTCCAGAGACTGACTTAATTAGTCAGGGCTATGAGCTTAGCTAATGGTGGGCTGGGTGAATGCTTGATTTGCAATGGAAATTCAGTTTGGCATGGAGTCTTGGTGTTAAGAATGCATTGGCGAATTTTGCAGCACTTCTTCAGAGCTTCCTTCTCACAGGTTTTTCTTTCTGGAATATTTCAAATGCTAGGGATGAGACAGTTTGTCCTTAGCACTGGATCCTATCCACAGGCCTCAGCGGTTGTGATATTTAGCAGGACAGATAGAGACCCAAGAGGCCAAACAGCTTCTTCCTTCCCAGGCAGATGAAACAACGACCAGCTCACTGCCTGGCCTGTGTGTGTCTGCAGGGGTGTTTGATATGAGGAGGAAACTCCAGGAGCTAAATCCAGGGGCAGAGAAAGCGGCACAAATGCATTAGGCCAGAAGCCAGTGATTAGGAACCAGGAAAGGGGATCTGCAGTGATGGAAGCCTGAAGATAAGCAGTTCTGGTTGGATGCCATCATGGGCAGTTGCCTGCTTTAATGTCTGGATAAGAACTTGCTTGTAATTGGTAGATGGATTGTGTGGATGGAAATGGAGCCTGAAAAGAATCTATTCCCTTCCAGCAATTAGACACCCACCCCCCTTCCTTCTCATTCTGACTGCTCAGCAGACCCAGACTCCTAATCCTCAGCACAGAAGCAGATCAGAGCCCAGGCTGGTTTGAATTAGTCCCTGTGATCCATAGTAAAGTGCTTGCCCTGCCTTCCTCCCCTGTGATGTGTGACGGGGTATAGTCCGGTACACCGTGTGCATAAGTGGATGTGGGGAGATGTGGATACAGATGCCTGTGAGTTGCAGGTGGGTCCCTTTTAAATGTCACTTCCATCTGATTTCTTCCTTTCCTGTCCATATACTGACATACCCTCTTGACCACTTCCTCAAGTACTGATGGTAGCTTCCTAGAGTGGGATATAGAAGGCCATTAGTCTTCAGGGATTTTTTTTCCTTACAAAAAAAAAGAAGAAAGGGAGGAAGGGAGGAAGGGAGGAAGGGAGGAAGGGAGGAAGGAAGGAAGGAAGGGAGGAAGGAAGGAAGGAAGGAAGAGCAAGAAGAGGGGCTAGTGAGTCTGTTCAGCAGGTCCAGTTTTTGCTCTGCAGCCTGGCAACCTAAATTCACTTCCCAGGATCCACATCAAGATGAAAAGAGAGAACCAAATCCACAAACTTTGTTTTAAAAACACAAACCTTTTGATTTGGTGCATGAACTGAAAAGGATGGTGTTTGCAGTATAAATCACTGTGCATATATTAAGATGGTATCTGCAGACTCTTGGCAAAGCTGATTGCTACAAGTGAAGGTTTAGGATGCTGGATGACACATGCAGACTCCACACAGCTCTTTCCGTTGGGTCAGTAGTGGCTGCAACGCCTCATTGCCCCTGTCCAGGGCCTGCTTCACTGCTTACAAAAATAGACACTGAGAGCCTCTGGGAGGAGAGACATCAGTAACAGGACAGAATTAAGACATTGCTCCTGCCACTACCCCTAGTGAGACTTCAGGTTACACAAGAGTTGACATTGTGACAGTCTGTGACTATCGCCACTATCCATCTTGGAGCTTCTCGGCTCAGCTTTCAGGATTAAAATTGTGAAGATGCCTTACTTGGGACAGTCTACCCATCAGGAGTGACCTCCTCCACCCCCCCCTTCCCCCTCCTCCTTCATCTTCCCCTCCTCTTCCTGCTGCTGCAACCTGTTTGGGTCCACTCAAGTGTTGCTTTATTTGAACTTGAGTGAGTCAGCCACATAGAGAGTATATCAATAAACTCATTGCTCAGATGAAATCGTTCCCCTGTCCCTGCACCTTACATCAGTCCTTAAATTGCTCCTTATTTCCAGAAACAGATGGCCTGCTGCAAAAAATTTTTGCTTGAATGGAAAAAAACGATCTAGAGGTGATAGATTTCAAGTGCACTGACTTGCCATGGAAAGAAGATGCTGTTGGGGCTGATCCCTGGAAGGAGCAGTGTTGTCCATTCTGGTTTCTAACCATCCATAGATCCACCTGTTAGTTGCACCATAC